CTTCTGGGAGGCTGATGCTAAGAGAAATAAGAGATGTGTATCAGATGGGGTTGTGGTAAGGAAGCTGAGCTGAGTTATGCCTGAGAAGAATACTACTACCTCTGATCCTAATTATAAAAGCTAGTTGACTAATTTGAGGAGATTAAGGAAGTAAGTTGAGTTAGTTATTTGTTCTAAATAGGTGTTGTCTTTCCTAAAATATCCTTGCTAATTAAGTGTATTGACTAGAACTATCATTGTTAGAAGGACTACTTTGAAAAAAAAAATATAAACATAAGAGATAAAGTGGATTAAAGTCTTATATTTAAGATCAAAATAAAATTCAAACAGGATCTTATATTAAGAACCGGAAGTAGTATTAAATTGAATATTGATACCGCTTTTAGTAAAAAGAGAGGAAGGGCTTCTATGGTAATGGTTGCAAGGAATGATGAAGGTAGTTTTATTGGTGGTTTTGGGAAGGAGGTAGTAGCAGATTCTGCGTTCATGGCAGAAAGCATGGCTTTGCTTGAGGCCTTAAATTGCTTTGATGAGTTTAGCAATGGGAAAGTAGTGGTGGAGACTGACTGTGAAATGTTATTTGACAAGCTACAGAAAAAGGAAATGAAAAGATGTGTTGGGGCTGTGAGGATATTCTGCACAAGTGTCTCTCTTTGCTAAAGGATAGGCAAAATGGGGTTTTGTCTTTAGTTGCAAGGAAAGGGAACAAGACTGGTGATCATTTGAGAAGAGTGGTACCGCAAAGTTGGCTCTGTGTACAGACTGGATTTAATGTACAGATTGGATGAGGAGGAGGGAAGGTCTGGAATTGGTTAATTGCTTTTAGATTGTTGTGTTGTTTTCTTTTTTCCTCTTCTTTCAGTTTTGTTGCCATTTAGTTGCCTTTTTTATTTTCTGTCGGTTCTGTGTTTATTTAGGCATCTTGCCTATCAGTTTTTTGTACTTGTTTTTGAAGGTTTAATAATATAGACTATTCAGCTAAAAAAAAAAGATTACGATAGTATAACTATTTTCATTTGGCAATTTAAAAATGGGAAAATGACATTGAGGTCCCATGCAACACAAAATACTACAAAAAGGTCCCAGGAAATTTGGTAATGATTCTGAAGTCCCAAAGGGACTTTAGTGCAATTTAGTGAATTGTAAAAAGACACCTCTGCCCCTGGTAAAATGCATCTAAATTAACTCAAACCTGTCCTGTTTTTCAGTCTGAAAATTAGAACTCTATACGCAGGAAGCAAGAGAGAAAAAACCCAAACTCCATTCTGCTTCTTCCCCCATTCCCATATGAAAATCTCATCCACTCTATTAATGTCAATCATTGGCAAAAATCGCTTGTGTTTTTGGTTTGGTGTGTGTTTGGTCATTCAAGTTGGGGTTTTATTATAGGTGGGTAGGGTGATTATGGGTGTTCTGTTTCTGGGTATATTGTGGGTGGATTGAAGGTGGGCTTGCTCTGTCTGGGCATGGTTCAGGGGGAACTGATGAGAAAGATGAAGGTTGGTGTGATTAGAAACCCTTACTGCGAAATAGGAAAATATGTTGTCAATAGGGCCGCGACAGTTGTCAATATAGCTCCTTGACTTGTCAATAGTAACAGCATTGTACAGATTTACATTAACTGATTTTTTAAATTTTTTACACAAAGCCATGACCTTCTGTACCCTTGACTCATTGGTAGAGGTCACAAAAAGAGGAAGAAGAGGCAACAAAGAAGGGTGAGTAGTTACATGAGACAAAAGAAAAAAAAAGCCACTTTGATCCTAGACAAATGATGGCAAAAGAATTTTTTCGTAAATAGAAGTGACATAATTTTTTGGTAGATGTCACAACACACACAAATAATTAGTTTAATACTGGATACATGCAACTATATGTTTTTTTAATGGGGTTATAAAATCGGTGTAATTACATGTATATGAAGTTGTAAATGAAAGTTAGCTGTGTATTACATTCTGATGCATAGTTGTTGTCATTATCCGCACCCTTCATTGTCAATACATGCTTCGTCACTTGTCACTCACTGCACCATCAGTTGTCAATTAATGTACTGATATAAATTTTAAAAAAAATATGATTTTTATTACATAATGTTATACAACGTCATACAATATCACTAATTCCTCAAAACTAATATATTTTTTATAATATGATATAGAATAGCTATTAAAAGTCAATCATCACTGATATGAAATCATAAAATCACTTGTCATAAACAACATATTCACTTGTTAATGGTTTCAGTGTAACTTGGCATGTTAGATTCTGCTGTCATTTCAATTGTCATTATTCGCACCCTACATTGTTATTAGACCTATTATAACTTGTCAATGGAGCATTGTAACTTGTCAATTAATTTGCTGATGTAAGTTGTCAACAATATGAATTCAAGTTACATAACCTGTTTTAGTATCATATGATATTTTTAATTACTCTGTCATATTATATTTTGATTATATTGTCATATATAATTATTATTAATGAAGTGTTAATGATGGCACTATGACTTGTCAATGGAAGCACTATGATTTATCAATGGTGGCACTATGACTTATCAATGGTAGCACACTGACTTGTCAATGGTAGCACTGTGACTTGTTGTTCACCGAATAACTTCTCGAAAGGTTTGGGCACTGCGGCGGATATGATTAGGTGCCCTGGTGCCTTACACAGAATGGCAACTCCTTGGGACAGATGGGGTGCCGCGACAGATATGGTCAGACGCCGCAGCGGATTATCAGTTGTCAATGGTGGCACTATAACTTGTCAATGGTGGCACTGTAACTTGCCAATAGAGTACTGTGACTTGTTAATGTAGGCACTGTCTCTTATCAATTGAACATAAATCTGAGTAACACCTTCTTCTTAATAATTATATTTTAATGCAAATATCACTTAACATTATAAATAAATGACACCTTCAGTTGTAAAAATTTTGAACATTAATTATTAATATTCACACATTCATTTGTTATAAAATTGTTATATCACTTGTTATTAACTTCTGTTATATTACTTGTTATTTTGGATAACTCAGGTTGTTAATTTCTACGCCGGATGCTGTTGAGCTATACACAACTGAGAATTTCAAAAGAAATGAGTCACTTTCTTTTCTAGCAATTGATGATATAATTTCCTTCAATTCTTCATAACTTGTGCCCTCCTTTATATTGTTGTTCTTACACTACCTCCCACATATCTCATATCATCTTCTCTATCATTTATAAACTTTCTCTCTATGTGAACAAAGCAAAATAGATGCTTTTCAGATGTACTCGCCATCAGTAATTTAAACCTGCATCAAGAATCATGCAACTGTCATTGACAAGTTAAGGAGCTACGTTGACAACTGTCGTGGCACACATTGACAACTATCACGGCCTGATTGACAACACAATATCCCATTTCGTGCTAAGAGTTTCTACCCACACTAACCTTCATCTTTTTCTTCCTTTGCTACTAAACTAACATCAGCACAGAGCAAAACCATTAACAAGTGAATTTGTTGTTCATGACAAGTGATTTTATGACTTCATATCAGTGATAATTGACTTTTAATAACTATTCTATATCACATTATAAAAAATGGATTAGTTTTGAGGAATTAGTGATATTGTATGACGTTGTATAACATTATGTAACGAAAATCATATTTTTTTAATTTATATCAGCACATTAATTGACAACTGATGGTGCAGTGAGTGACAAGTGACGAAGCATATATTGACAATAAAGAGTGCGGATAATGACAACTAACTATGCATCAGAATGTAATACACAGTTAACTTTCATTTACAACTTCATATACATGTAATTACACCGATTTTATAACCCCATTAAAAAAAACATATAGTTGCATGTATCCAGTATTAAACTAATTATTTGTGTGTGTTGTGACATCTACCAAAAAAATTTATGTCACTTCTATTTACGAAAAAATTCTTTTGCCATCATTTGTCTAGGATCAAAGTGGCTTTTTTTTTTTGTTTTTGCCTCATGTAACTACTCACCCTTCTTTGTTGCCTCTTCTTCCTCTTTTTGTGACCTCTACCAATGAGTCAAGGGTACAGAAGGTCATGGCCTTTGTGTAAAAAATTTAAAAAATCAGTTAATGTAAATCTGTACAATGCTGTTATTATTGACAAGTCAAGGAGCTATATTGACAACTGTCGCGGCCCTATTGACAACATATTTTCCTATTTCGCAGTAAGGGTTTCTAATCACACCAACCTTCATCTTTCTCATCAGTTCCCCCTAAACCATGCCCAGACAGAGCAAACCCACCTTCAATCCACCCACAATATACCCAGAAACAGAACACCCATAATCACCCTACCCACCTATAATAAAACCCCAACTTGAATGACCAAACACACACCAAACCAAAAACACAAGCGATTTTTTGCCAATGATTGACATTAATAGAGTGGATGAGATTTTCATATGGGAATGGGGGAAGAAGCAGAATGAAGTTTGGGTTTTTTCTCTCTTGCTTCCTGCGTACAGAGTGTTGATTTTCAGACTGAAAAAATAGGGCATTTCACCAGGGGCAGAGGCGTCATTTTGCAATTCACCAAATTGCACTCAAGTCCCTTTGGGACTTCAGAATCATTACCAAATTTCCTGGGACCTTTTTATAGTATTTTGTGTTGCATGGGACCTCAATGTCATTTTCCCTTTAAAAATTTTGGAAAAAAACCAACTTAGATAAAAGAAGAAAGTACCTAAATCTATTTTTTCTTTAATATTTTCTTCTTTTCTCAGTTCTTTCTGCCAGCGTTTTTCTTTTCTCAGTTTGGTGATATTTCTTCCAAAATAAAGAATTTAAGTAGATTTTAATATTTTATAAAAGAATATACATTCGTAGATTACGTGAGGTAAATAATTTTTTTGGGATGATCACTGGATGAAAAGTATTTTGCTTGAGAGGAATAAATTCCAAAATACTGCCGATTTCCACTAGCGAGGCGGAACAGTTCCCTCAATAATATCTGATCCAATAGTGGCCATCCGCGCGTATTCTTCAGTTTTTCACTGACCTCCAGTTCGGCCTTGGTGGTTTGAGGAACACGACCAAAACCCTAACCCTAATCATAACCGCATCCGTCCATGGCCTCCGATGCACATGGCTCCCGTCACAAGCACCGGCGCTCATCTTCTCCCGAAGAAGTCGAGCGATCCTCTAAACGTCACAAGCACCGCCACCATGGCCACCGCCATCATCGGCACCGCCACGGTAGCAGGAAACACGAAGAGGAGCATGAACTCGATGCCGAAACTGTTAATAAGGTTCCTTCTCCAACTCTTGGTCCTGAGTCTGACAGGCCTGATGATGATGTGGAGGAGGGGGAGATTCTTGAAGAGGAGGGTCCCGGTGGCCGAGATGGTGAGATTGGAAAAAAGCATACGGAGTCCGATGCTGAGTCTGGTGAAATCATGGCCACGGGAGGTCGAGGTATTCGATCCGATAATTCAAATCCGGTAGGTTATGATTGAATTTATCGTTTTCTTTATCTTTGCTACTTTCCGCATCTGTTTGGTTGCTGAGGAAGTGGAGACTCCGATACTATAAATTAGAAGAACTTGTTTTCTTGTTCGGTTTTGTTATTGTTCAAAAAATTCAATATTATTTTCTTTGGTGATTGTTGGCATTTCAATGAATCCACTTCTTCTTGGTAACCAAACAGGGCTTGGAATTTGTATTTCAAAATGTATAATGAATTATTGATCCATGAGAGTTTGGTAGAATACCATGTCAGTGTCTCATAGATATGTAGAACCCGCTTGCACTACACGAACATGAATGAATTGCAAAAGAGGTCTCTCTAGGCGTTTCAGTGAAGACTGATGGCTTACGGTTAATTTGTAAGAGCTGGTTACGAGTCCTTTTTTTTTTAATCTTTTTAATTTTATTTGTTGACCGATATGAATGTTACGCTCATTCTGCTTTAACTTAACTAGTTAAGTGTGAGGACCATTGACATATGCACATAATTACCTCTTGTGCTGAGCAGGTACCTTCCACCGAAGAGATGTTGCATGGGAAGGACGCCATTCCCTCTAAAGAGAAAGTAGTGACTACTGCTAAAGGTTTAGAAACTAATAGTGAGGATATCAACAATGGTAGATTTATTAGTCCACGATTGGATGGAGAAGATGATACTCGCCATCAGGGACACACTGGTCACAGTAGAAATGAAGTTGATGGTTCTCCTACTCATTCAAGTGCGGAGTCCGTAGATGCTAAGCATGCTAGAGCTATTTCGGATGGTTTGGGCAATGGGTATTTGGATCGTAAATCTTCCAAAGAGGATAAATGGCCGCATGGGGAGCTTGGATGTTTTAAAGGAAATGAAAAGCTGAAAGGTGACTATGACAACGAAGATCTGGAGGTTAATGGAGGCAAATTAAGGATTCATAGGAAGAACTCCTCCCCTGAAAGTGGAGGTAGCAAATATAGGGCCAGGGAAAGCTCACCTAATTATAGGTGTAGGAGTCGATCCAGATCAAGTGGTCATACTCATAGTGTAATAGAAGAATATGCTCATTCCAGGAGGAGGAATGACGAGGAAAGAATTGGGGAATATGGCAGGGAGCGTGGACATGTGAGTAGGGATTTGGTGGCAGGTGATAGAAGGGAGCACAGTTCCAGCTATTACAGTCGGGAGGCCCGAGATAGAGATAGGAGCAAGGACAGGGATGGGGATAGGGACCTAAGAAGAGAAAAGGAACGGGAAAGGAGCCGGAATAGGGAGGATGATCGTGTGCATAGGAGGGGAAAAGAACGTGAAAGGAGTCATGAGAAGGATAGAAGGGATGTGGAAAAAAGATAGGAGCTGGGGAAGAGAGGTGGACAGGGATAGACGAAGAGAAAGGAGCGAGATAGAGAGAGGAGCTGGGAGATTGTGGCTGAGCGGCATAGAAGTGATAGGGGACGAGAGAGGAGTAGGGACAGAGGAAGGGTTGGGGAGAGAGATAGAGTTCGTGAGAGTGAAAGGGATGATAAACATCGAGAAAGAGATAAGATTAGGGAGAGGGAGAGGCGTAAGGATAGAAATGTTCTTGATAAAGATAAAAATCTGGGTTATGAGCATGGTAATGAGAGCCGGGACGGAGATATGCGCCGTAAGCATTTGAGACATGAAGAAGCAGAAAGCCATAGGGAGAAAAAAAGAAATTCTGAGTCTGTGACAGTTGATAAACCTGTGGACAGGTATTTATATTTTCATCAGAAGTGTCTATACAAAATAAGCTCTTTTATTTTATTGTTTTTACCATTATTTTAATAATACCTCACTTCATTGATTTATGTTGACCAGGGGTGAGGATGAACAAGATGACCTGGATGAGACGGTTACGTTGCCATTTGCAGAACAAGAAGAGGAAGACCTCAATAGAATTAAGGAGGAGAGTAGAAGGAGGAGGGAAGCAATCTTAGAGAAATATAAAAAGCAGCAACCAAGCAGCATCAACAAGAAGAACAAACTTCTGAAAATAAAAAAAAGGTTTTTTTGGCTTTTATTTCCTTAAATTTTCTCTATTACCCTTAAAGTCTGTTTGGATTAGTTGGAAAAAAGCACTTTTTTGCTGTATGCAATATACAAGGGGAGTTTTGTCTTGTATAGCCTAAACATGATCATTTTAAGAGGTCCCAAACACCCAGTTAGTGATGTTCTGTTGACATGGCCTAAGAATGTGCAACACTCTATGGATTCTGATACATAAATAAGTCTCAGGAGTTGGATGATATGTGTGTGGCATTTTTGTTGTTTGCTCTTCCCCTGTATTTGCTTACTGTCATTATGTGTGTGCCACAGTGGGTTACTTTTTATACTAAAACACGCTTTTGAACTATGGTTAGATAAGGATCCTGTGAATGTTCCGGCTACTGTTTCTGAAGCTCCTGATGCTAAGAACGATGGTGCTGATGTTTTTGAAACGGAACCATCTTTTGCTGTTGGTAAATCACCCCGAGAAAATGGAAATGATGCATCCGAAAAGATCCCTGGTGTTGCTGGGGGCTTGGGAGAGGGTTCACCAAAGGTTTGTTCATTTCTTATTGTATATGATGGGGAAAATATCATAACTATAGTGGGTTCATGGTCAAACCCTTTTTAGCTATTTTGCTTTGAAGCTAATTTATAACATTTACAGAGTGAAAGATCCGATGACCAGTTTTGTGATGACATATTTGGTGAGACACCAACAGGAGTTCGCAAATCAGTAAGTGTTTGGTCAACTTAATGTGTTTGTATAATGACAGCCATTGTTTTTGTCCACTCAAGCTAGTAGGTCCCTGGGTTGATATATTGCTTTATAAGTAACAATTCTTGCATGGAGTGGTATTATGAGTTTTTTAAGTCATTGGCTGATGCTTCTTAAAGTAGAATGTTATGGATGGTGTATGGGTACTTGAAGTTCCATAGTGTATGAGAGCGTGATATTTTAGTGACTGATTAAGGAGTTGTGATTTGGGGAAATCTTAGTTTTTATACTTATTGAACATTTAATTTTTAGATGCCTGTTGCTTATCTTCTGACATTTTTTCAAGCTCAGCTTAATATTAACATATTAATTCATACTTAGTGTGATAGGTGATTTTCACCGTGGGTGGTAATATAGTGCAGATAAGATCTTAAGTAACCACTGGATTTTGTGGTTTAATAGTGTGATAGGTGATTTTCTCCGTGGGGTGGTAATATAGTGCAGATAAAATCTGAAGTAACCACTGGATTTTGTGGTTGAATGTGTTTAGTAAAATTTTTTTGCGAGAATTTTATGGATTTCATTTTTATAGTTCCTGATGAAAACTAAGATAGAACCTAGGAATTTTATAAACATATAAAGACAGAGTAATATATGAATGGTACCTATGTCTGATCCCCTCTCCTCTTCTCATCCTATCTAAGAATTTGTCTTATTTTGCAGGGCAAAGGGGATGGATTGCGTGTTGACAGGGGTGGATTGCATGACAATTGGGATGATGCAGAGGGGTATTACAGTGAGTATCGCATATAATTGTATCTAGCTGTATTAATTATAATCTAATTGTTGACTCTAGTGTTAATTGGTTTTTGTGGCCTTGTGCTGGCTGTGCACCCTGGCAAGGTGTTTATGCATTTGTTATGGTATCGTTTATTAAAACCAAAACAAGATAAATTTTGCATTATAAGCTAGGATTCAGAATTTAGAATTACTAGAAGACTCAAGAATGCTGTAATGAAACTTCTTACTATCACAGTAACTAATTTTGTTTATCAATTTCTAGATCTCTTCAGGTGTGCTTTGTCAATGTGATGTGGAATGTCTCGTTAAAGTATTAGAAATCCTAGAAGTTGTTGGCCTGTCTCTTGTGTTTGAGATAAGGATCACATTGTCCTTTATGAATATTTGCGGCTTATTATAGACTTTTTATTTTATGTTGATTTCAGCTTATTTTGCATTACAATTAGGATTCACATTTAAAGTTGATATAATACCTAAGAATGTTATAACGGAACACAGTTTTATAGTAACTTATTAGTTTTTTTTAATTAATTCTCTATTGATGAATTTTTAGTGATTTGTTCAGATATATTTTGTCAACATGGTGGAAAGTTACTTGAAACTACTGGAAAAGTTGGCCCCTTTTTTTTTAATAGTTTTTAATTAATTCTGGCCTTGGGCATCTCTGTTCTTCTGATTGTGGTGTTGTGCGCCAATATTTCTATGTGATTCTGCAGGCTATCGTTTTGGTGAAATACTTGATGGTCGATATGAAGTCACAGCAGCTCATGGTAAAGGTGTCTTTTCAACAGTTGTTCGTGCAAAGAATCTAAAAGCTGGTAATGGTGAGCCAGAAGAAGTAGCTATAAAAATTATTCGTAATAATGACACCATGTGAGTTATAATGGTCCCCTTGTATCTTCATAAAATATTTTGCATATAACTTAGTGCTCTATTGCTCATTGGTATATATGTCTATTCTGGTACAGGTACAAGGCTGGTATGGATGAGTTGGTCATACTAAAGAAATTAGTAGGTTCAGATCCAGATGATAAGCGTCATTGTGTTCGTTTCCTTTCAAGTTTTAAGTACAGGAATCACCTTTGTTTAGTTTTTGAATCTCTTCATATGAATCTGCGTGAGGTTTTAAAGAAGTTTGGTCGCAATATTGGCCTTAGGCTAACAGCTGTGAGAGCGTACGCGAAACAACTCTTTATTGCATTGAAGCATCTTCGGAACTGTGGTGTTCTCCATTGTGATATAAAGCCAGACAATATGTTGGTATGTCTAAAATATCTTTTTGTGTTTGGCTTGTTTTTGAAAAGGGAAAATTAGTATGCAAGTCGTTATAATTTCACCTCATTTTTAGTTTAGTTTTTGTAGTTTTTCCCCTTTTTTTATTGGGTCCTTGTAGTTCGCTCAATTATAGGTATTGGTCCCTATACTTGTAATTTGTCATTTTGTAAGAGGATGTTAGTAGCTGGTAATGTGACTCTCACTTAGTATACATTTGAATTAACTTTGTCCCATGGATTTAAATAAAATCATAATCAACCAAATTATAGATTATATAGATGCAAGGAGACAGTTATGAGCATACTTATTTTTATTTTTATGTTGATAATAAAGAAATTTTAGTCCCCACCATTTTATTTTTAAAAAACTTCTCATTTTGTATTTTGTGACAATTTATATGTTGTTTAGTCGGCATCTGCAGATGCCCTAGCATGGAAACTAATGCGTACAATTGAATAAATTTTAAGGACCCAATAAAAGAAAAAAAGCTATAGGGGTCTGTTTAAAAATTAGGTGAAGCTATAGGGATTGACGAATCAATTTTTCTTCAAAAATCCTTTCATTTTTTTTTTTTTTGGTATATAACAATTAACATTTTCCTTTTTGATTAGGTGAATGAAGCAAAAAATGTTTTGAAGCTTTGTGACTTTGGTAATGCTATGTTTGCTGGAAAGAATGAAGTCACACCATACCTTGTGAGTCGCTTTTATCGTGCCCCTGAAATAAGTAAGTTCCTTCCTATAGTATCTTATTTTAATGATGAAATTCTTATAGTTTCCGATTGCTGAATTTTGGTATGTTTTTGTGCAGTACTTGGCTTGTCATATGATCATCCGTTAGATATTTGGTCTGTTGGATGTTGTTTGTACGAACTTTATACTGGAAAAGTTCTTTTCCCAGGTGGTACTAACAATGACATGCTACGGCTTCACATGGAATTGAAGGGTGCTTTTCCGAAGAAGATGCTTCGTAAGGTAAATGTTTGTATGCTTATCATGAATTGTTTGCAGCTGGTTTGTTGGTCTTATGTGAATCTCTCTCTTAGAAGCAGCCCTAAACAAGAAATCTTGTTCAAGATATGATTGTTGTTTGAATTTTTTTGGAGGATGGAATAAAATGATTCATAAGACAATGGATTGGCAGGGGAAGGGATGAAAATGAATGATTTAGTTTTCTATTTTGTAGTTGTTAGATGATCAGTGGTGATGGAGTGATCACTGCAGCAGTTTAGTTAATACATGATTATTATGTATTAAGGCTATGTTTCTTTGTGATTTATGTTCATCCTTGTGATTGATCTGGAGTCTGTTGGTAGTGGGCGGATTGGGTTTGCTATAACATGGTTTTGGATAAAAAGAGTGATGGGGTGTGGCATTTAGTTTTCAGACCCCTTCATATTGGTGGATTTGCGCTGGATTAATTCTGACTGCACCTGCACTTTAATGAACGTAATTCTAACAGGCTGTTATTATGTACTTATCACCTTATCACAATACACCGGTATTTACAGAGCGAAGAGAAGCTATACTATGAAACTAAACTGTTTTTTTTATAAAAAAAAGAAATTTCTGATTATAATTAAAATAAGTTAATGATCCCTTGGATTTATGGGTTCGCTAATCTGTAAGTCGTGGGTTTGCTTATTCCTAGAAGTTAAGAATTGTAATAACTGATTCCTAAAGAAGGAGGACCACTGCAAATGATCTCTTAAGGACGTCTATAGTTTGGAAATTTTTTTCTCTAAAATTCACTCCACTTCACTTAGATTGCAGTTTTCTGACAATAGTGTTCACTAATCTATTTTTTATGGAAATTTTATTATTTAAAAAATTTAGTATGATCTCTCCTGCCTAGCGTCACTCTTTGAAACTTCAAATAATCTTACGTAATGTGAATCTGTTAGGTGTTTGGATTAGCTTTTTAAAAGTAATTTTATAGTGTATGAGGTAAGTATGTGAGATGATTTTTGCCTTCACTTGCATGAAAGGAGGGGTTACCAAGCACCCCCTATATGTTTTTGTTAGCAATTGATTCTTTATCTTTTCGCTTTTTTTAATCTCCTGTTTTGACTTTCAAATGTCATCCGTGTATATGATCTATATGTTGTAATGAACATGTGGTTTGTCTGATGAATTTTTTTTTTTGGGTATAACTTGCAGGGAGCATTTATTGATCAGCATTTTGACCAGGACTTGAATTTTCTTGCTACAGAAGAGGATCCAGTGACGAGAAAGGTGAGCTGGACCTTTTTTTTTTTTTTTTTTGAGATTTAAAAATTCTATTTCCAAGTCAACCATGCCATTTTTGTTAAGTAGGGTGGATATGCATTTTTGAGTTTGTTGATAGTGGATCCAAATTGATTGGCTAGGCTATAAAGCGGTTGATTCTCAACATGAAGCCCAAAGACATTGGAACTATCATTGCTGGCTCTCCTGGAGAGGATCCGAAGATGTTAGCTAATTTCAAAGATCTTCTGGACAAGGTTTTTGTCCTGGATCCGGAGAAGAGGTTGACAGTCTCACAAGCATTAAGCCATCCATTCATCACTGGCAAGTGAACAATGTTGCTGATTTTGACTCCGAAATGATGTTTGCTGATTTTTGTACATAATGACCCAATTCATAGTGATTCTAATCATTTGATATTATTTATCTTCTATGCCTCCTCCGAGGGGTGTCAGCAACACTAGTTGGCCCGTTGAAGTGATAAGGGTGATGTCTGATCAGGAGTACACTTTACTGGCGGTTCTTTCAGTGGAATCTTTCAGTGGAATGTACTGTTTCTATTGTAAGACAACTTGCCGATGGCAGTTCCCCCCCTTTTCTTGTATGGCCATTGTGTAATTTAGTATATTAGTTTTTTCAATATAGGTGTATATGTACTTTGGACATTATTTTTGCAATTATCTTTTATAATGGAAAATTTGATTTAGCACATGCTTTTCTGATCTTTTGCTGAACATTGGCTCTTGTATTATGTTTTACTCTATTCTTTTGTAGCATTAGCCTCTGCAACTTCCGTTTACCTTTCTCATTCTTAGTTGCTATGTTTTATTATTTGATAAATTGTGGTCCTCCCTTGCTGCTGTTGATGCCAGTTCATTTGTCCTTGCATTTGTTTATTTACTTGGATTCTGGAGATGCTAATTTAATTTTTCATTCAGGAGGCATTGTGAGGCAACCCTCCAGTCCTTAGGTGCTTTAAAGGCACTCAGGAGAAGGTACCTTGGTTTGTTTTCGGGAAATTAATTTGACCATGCTGGAATGAGAAATAATTTATTTAAGATTCTACACAAGCACCAGTAGATTAGTCACTTGATTGGAAATTAATGAAGTTGTTTGTGTGATCTATTTGAGATCACTGGATAGGTCTTAATCTTGCTGTTGCTAATAATGGGGTAGGTACGCTGTGGAATCAAAATATTTGTCAGTATATTCTATTGCTTAAAAGCTACTCACGAGTGACATTGTTAGAAAGTGTTGTATTTTAATGTTTATTGGCTATCCTCCGATTGATCAAGCTATATGGCATGCGAATTGCTTGGCGTGTTGTGCATGTCCTTTTAGGTTGGAAATATAGATGTGCATAGTACGTTAATTTTATTAGCTTCTCCTTGAGTCCAGCATCTTTGTATTTTTTTGTTTCAAATATTTCTTATCCAAATCCTAATGAAATTGCGTTGCATCTTATCCATGGCCTGGTCATTCCGGAGGCATTTCCACTGGAGGTGTTTGGCCGTCTTCTTGAAGGGGATTCGTATCTGAGGGGGTAATTAAATCCAGAAACTTCTGTTCACTTAACCTTTTGGTACGGGTTAAAGTTGATGTTGCCTCTATTCCATTGAATATTCTGGTTTTAATTTCCTTTTCTCTTTTTAGGTACAGTATCTTTGGTCCTGCTATTTTTGTAAGTATATACATGTCCAACTTAACTTTCTCTTTCTTTGCATTTATATGACTGATGATCAATGGCCTGAGGTTTCCAGTGGGTAGTCATTCTCGGTTTTCATTTGTGCATTGATATTTCATGACCTCCATGGATTCAATGTATTCCAATGGGTAGTCATTCTCAAATTATTCAACAGCTGTGTTCATGATGGTGAAATTTGGGCTGTATCGAACATTCTTTCTTAATCCTATGTTCCTCTGAATTAGATGTATTGCTAATGATCCCCTTCCTCATATCATGGCTGTCTGGATTCCCCTTTAAACATTCCCTTTTGTAAGTCCGTTCCATATTACTCCTTCAGATTGGAATCTCCATCCTCAAACGTGTCTATTTTTTGCTGTCAATCCTGAATAGGTCTTCTCCACAACTTCATATGTGCCAGTGTTTCTA